TGAAGCATTTCTTTATTCACATTCTGGCAGGTGTCTGCCTCATGTCTAAACTCTCTATTTATTTCTGCTACACCATTTATAGTACAGGGACGACAAAATGTGGAAGAGATATGTTTGTGTGACGTCTTTGCTGGAAAGGAGACGCATGAAGGAGGGTTATGTTTCAGTCAAGGTCAAACAACACAGAGATGAGGACATGTTGACTCCAGTGACTCACCTCCAGCCTGTTGACCAGTTTTTTCTTTATCGCATTCTGAGCTGCAGCATTAGTGGCGACACGGAGCCCCTCAGCTGCCTCTCTGAGCCTTTGCTGCTGGTCCTCGTTCTCGGGGTAGGCAGCCGCCCCCTGAGGGCACAGAAACATGACCACACATCCACGCACACACATACACATGTACACATAAACATACAGCACAGTATATACACTGTAAAAATAGCTATCAGACCACAGCGATAAAAGTTTAACAACTCTGGTTTTACACACTGTGCAATAAATGCAAGGAAGAAATTTAGCCCTGTCTGCTTTCTGACAGTTTCCAAGGAAACAGTCAGTGCCTGATTCCCACTTCCTCTTTGATAATGGCAGTGATGTGGTAATTAATGTGTCACAGATCAAAAACATCTAACGAGCCATAAGAAGTGTTTCACTTGCTTGGGTATTTCACACTGATAATATCCTGCTCAGTAGTGCCAGGGGCTAATTAAGAGCCACTGATGCTGCACCCTTTAATTTCAGATGAGAAATGATGTTGGTAGCTACTGAGGCGTATAGAGTAATGCCCAAATGTATATTCTGTTACATGAAAGTAATTCACTTTGGTTCAACTCTTAACACTGCATTCAATATAACATTAGAAATGAAACACAACAGTGGTGGTGGTGGGATCGCACTGTTTGTACTGGGTTAAAATCTGCATTCTGTGTTAATTTATAATGAGGAACCAATTAAAACGGAGAAAACTGAATGTTATAATAACTAAAAAACAATCAGATTAGATTATTATGTATTTTGGTAAATTACATTTATAGTTACGTACATATTTTAACATATAACCAATCATACTGCATTGCATTTTGAGAGTAAACCTGTTACACTCTTACCTTAGCAGCCTCCACCATGCGAGCTGTGGCATCAGCCAGGAGTTTGGCTGCAGCCAGCAGTTTCTTGGAGTTGTCAACATCAACTTCCGCCTCTGCATCTGATCTCATGGCATTAACCAAGTCGGAGGTGGCTTGAGCTAATACTCTGGCCTGACGCACCATCTCCCCTGTTCACACATACAGTCGTTGCATCAAGGCAGAGGCCCCTACAAACATGACTGTCAGCTAAGACAGCAGCACAAAGCCAAGCCAATTCAGTGTGTGCTGCAAAGCTGATTTGGTGTGGTTGTCCATTTACTGTAAAAACATTTGTTTTTCAAGTCAGCTGTGTGTTTGTTGTGCAGACTGGTGTAGATGTGTATCTGTTTTGACAAGTGGATCTTTTTAAAAGTGACGGTTAACGTTCAGAGTTGTCACCATCCTTTTAACCATCAGAAGCAAGGTAGTATGTGTTGTGACAAAGGTATTCTCAAAGTTGAAGCAGTCACAATGACCTCATTGAGCCTAATACCCCCAAATATCAGGGATCATTATTTCAGTAGAAATGGTATGACAACATTTCTGGAAATCTCGTCATAACCGCCAACCCTACTTCATCACTAAAACTGTTCTCATCTTGCAGTCACATTGTTATCACCTTCATGTACTCTTATACAGAAGGTTCCTAGTGAGTCATCCTCACTCACACAAATGAAAGCCTTAGGAATATATGTAACATCTCCCCACATACCTGCTATAAAAAGCTGTAGTTCCTAAACACCCACTTGCAGCTTGAAATAACTCACCCAGAGAAGTCTATGGAAGACAAGACGTGTACTGTAGGTGATTTGCAACCTACATCTAGTGACCTTGGGAATCAGCCAATACTGTATGTCTAGAATAAAATGTTTTCATGTTGATTTATAGAAAAAAAAAGTCTGTCTTTCAAAAATGCCCAGGTCATATGTTTCCTTTTAAGTTTCATAGTTTCCCTGAAGCTGATTGAGACCAGATGGTTTTGGACGACATGTTTTCTACAACCCCTTGAGAACCGGCTGGCTTTGGAAATTCTTCAGCTTCATTGCACTATAACAAATAGCCTGAGCTTTGAAAATGTTTCACTTAATACGGACATATGGACAACATAAGTCCCAGTGATGCAGTCAAAACATGATGGAACAAAACTAGAGAAAAAAAGGTATTTATTAGAGATCACCAAAGTTTTTATTTTTTTTACTGTTCATTGTTTGTTGTGAGTGAAGAGCTTTGGATAAACTGAGACATCAAAAAGCTTAAATTTATAGTATGTTTATCTGGACTTTACCCTCAACAACCTCTAGGGTTAAATACATCTCTTTCTACTCACCAGCATCACCCATAGAAGTAAAGATGTTCTCTGTCACGTTCATGATCGTGTCTGTGGCCTGGTCGTAACGTCCGATGGGTTCTCCGCAGCTGGCGTAGTGGCGGACATGCTGCAGTAGGTCGCTGAGGGCCTGGCTCACCACACCGGCCGCTGCCCCGACTTGCTTCAGCAGTTCGCCGTCGCTGCTGGCCGAGTGGCAGGCTTTGACACAGGTTTCTACAGAGCGGTCCACCAGCTTCCCAGCCTCAACAAGCTGCTCCTGGCACACTGGGGAGCTGATGGTTGGGCTCAGCACCTGCACCACGCATAGTTGTTGGCAGAAACTCAGACTATATGAACTGAAGACTACTTTGATATTACACAGAATATATTTACAGTTAATTCTTTTTTCATTTAACCAAGCAGCCTGTCTGTTGGTAAGTCCTCTACCTACTTGGCTACTGAGATGAAAGCGTTTTAGATCAGTACCTTGGTGCAGGCTACCAGCTGTGAGGTGGACAGGGCACACTGAGTGGCAGCTGCGATCACTCGGTTCTGCAGCATGGTGTCCTCGGCCACCTGGGCCACGCTCTTGGCCTTCAGGACTAACATAGCAGCTGCATTGGCCACTGCTTTGGCCAGATTCATCAGGGTGTCCTGCAACATATTAATCAATGTCCTTCACTGAGACGTAGCACAGCTGCACACATGTGACTGATGGCACCAGAAGAAGAAATGTTTTAATTCATTTTGTTCAGTTTTTACAGTGTGATGACTAATATACAAGGAACAACAGTTATGAAACAGTAAAAACGGTGATTATACATTTTATGATGGGAAGATTAAATGAAATCTATGCTATTAAATAAACCAACTGGATTGCAAACTACACTGATCTGCATGTAAGTGGAGAGTATTGGCTCAAGGTCCATAAGACCAAGAATGCAGATGATATGTGAGCCCCCTTCTCCAGGGATTAACTCTGCACTACAGTATCAAAACTGTGCACTGGAGGAAAAATGAGGCAGATAGTGAGAACCTTGTGTAAAGGACGTCTGGGAAACTGTACTCAATCGTTTTACTACTGAAAGCTCTTCTTCTGACACTTTCTTATAAAATCCACATGAAGTAACAGTCTAATAATAAAACCTGAGGTGATTACATAAGCGTGTATTGACATTTTAAAAGAGGGCTTGAGAATAAATGTGTGTCTTCCTGTTTGGCTGAGAGTATCATAGGAACAGTGTGTGGGTGGCGTCCAACCTGGAACTTCTCATCAGTCTCGCCCTCCCCCATGTGACGGAGTAGGTCCCCGCTGGCCTGCCCAATGCTTCCTGTCGCAGTCAGCACCGTTTGTCTGGGCTATATGAAGATGACATCACCACATTCATTACACTGGCCTGGCCTGTTCTCACACAAGCCTCCTGTATTATCTGAAACAGACTTCTGGATCAAAAATCAGCCCAGAAAGCCCCTCTGTAATGTTCAATGGGACACTGATAAAAAGAAAAGCTTGCATTTCAACACTGTATGTGGCTTTGTGGCAACTGGGATTACAGTGTGGAGGATGAAGCACAAGTCAGTAGAAAAACCAGTGGGCGTCTCACCTCAGCGGCTGCAGGCTCAACAGATCTGAGTAGATCTGACACAGCTCCTGCCAGCATCCTGGCAGCACTCATGAGCTTGTGTCCACTGCCCACCTCATCGTCCATTAATGCCGCTAACAGCTTGACACCCTTGGACATTTCCGTGAGATTGGAGGAGATGGTGGTGATGGCACAGCCCACTGCTGTATAGTCAGTTTCTGTGGGCTCACCTGTGGAGGATGGACGACCATCATTACAAACTCCACCTTTGCTTTTCATCTTAATCTACTGTGCTGCTGCCACATTGATTTGACTAATACACGGGGCAGCTCACATGTAACACACACATCAGTGTCAGTGTCATAATTAGTCTATTTGAAATGGTTCCACAGAGATAAGCCTGTTGTTGGAGCAAGAGGCCGTGGAGAAGAATAACTTTGTATTAGATGGTGGGGGAAAGTAAGTGCAACCAAACAGATGGCGAGGGAAGATTAAAACCCTGCAAAAGACTGGAAGGAACTTGACTGGCACTGTGCCAAACAACATGCAGCAGAGAGAGACACCAGCCAGTGAGTTGAGCATCAGGACAACGAGTTCAAGATTTATTTATTATTAGACATACTTAGTGGGAATAAAGGGAAATGCACCCTTATACAATCACCATCACTGTGTACTTGACAACAAAATGGAAAACATTTGTATTGATTCACACCCTGGAAATTCAATAATGCAAAGATAAACAATATTTTTTAATAACAGAGCAATTTCTTTTAGCGCTTCATCCAGTGCAGACTTTATAAAGCAGAATTCAGTTGCAGAAATTTAGGAAAACCTAAAGCGATGGCATGCTCCATTTTAGCTGTTTAGTATTCTTTGGGTACTCACCTGCAGTGAGATTGACCACAGATGCTGTTCCAGCTGTGATAGCATCAACCTGAGAGTGGATTTCATGTTTGGATTCATCCACTTTGTTCTGAACCCAAACTCTAGATGCCTTTCCGTGGAGGAGGAAAAAGAGAGCTATTAGTGGGTGATTTTCAGCTCATATAAACTTTCTTGTGCAGGATTAAAGGGCTGTACAACACATACAGCTTTGGAAACACATCCACTATATTTACAGGTGGTTTAATATCACAATTATATTTGAGAAATATGAGGCACTTTGATGAAATTTTTGCAAAACAAAAAGCCCACATTTATGATAGTCAGAATATTGGAACTCAAGAAGCTGCAATAAATGATGGAACATGGAGGGATACACTAGCTGCTCATGCTCTATTATCCTACAGTATTTTTCAGAACTGTACTTTAAGTGGAGAGAAGACTCACCAAGTCGTGGCCCAGTGGAGGCAGATTATCAACTTGTCCCAGGTCAGATTGAGCCCGCTGCACAGCCTGCATACTGCTGTTGATGGTCCCCATCAGGGCCTGCTGGGCCAGACTCTGACAACAACAACAAACAACAGAGACACATGGTAAGTAAATGTCTAAACAAAATACATGGCATATATTGTATGTGGGTGTGAAACTGTGAACCTCTCAGTCTTGCTATCTAATGTCTATGAACCGCAGGAGACAGACTGGCTGTTAGTGCGAGTATAAGGAACCTTTCACTTGTTAACTCATTCACAACCATATTCATGTTGTTCACTGCGATTCACTGTTGACAGTGGGGACCACAAGCAAAACATTCCATAAAAAAATGTGAGAATGGTGTACCTCAACACGGTGCTCTGATATTTAAAAAATTTGAGCACTGAGCATAACACGGCAGTGCTACATATCCTCTATACAAGTTTTTTGGCACACAGTATTATAACTGTACACACAGGGTATTTGGTATAGTTTGTCTGGAAAACCGCAACTGCTCTTACTCACCAGTGGTGGCATGTGTCCTCTGTGCATCTGCCCTGTGGTGATTTGCTGCTGGACAGAGGGCATAGTACCCACATTGAAGGTGTCGGGGCCGCCGATAGACCCAGACCGAATAATACCTGGAAGTGCCACTGAGCCGTGCTCCACACGGCCCACTCGATTGAACTGCTGCTGCAAAATTGTGGACCTGATACAGGAGGAAAAAAAAAAAAAAACAGGAAATGCATGATTAACATATTTTAATCTTGAAGTTTGTGCATGTAAATGTATATATTCAGCATATATGGACAGGGAGCATGGAGATGTGTGCAAATCTTTGATCTTTTAATGATGTGGATTACTGTGAATGTAGTGTAGAAGTCAAACTGTGCGAAACAGCATTAATAATTTTATTGAAATAGTGATTATCATCTAAACCTCTCTCCCTATGAAAACAGATTTCTTAGGATAACTGTCTTTATACAGTGACTGTGCTTTATGAAGTGATGGTGGAGGTGTTCTCAAGCTGACAATTTTTCTTTGTATTACTATTGAATGGATCTGTAAATTCTAAATTAATCCAGGTGATAGTTTAAGTGTTACTAATTTAGATGACAAACATTTAATTATAATTAAAACAATTAGCACATTAACAGCTGTTTCCATGATGAGTAGTCATCCTCAGAAAGAAAAAATTATACACAAAAATGTCTATTTTCCTGTCCAGCTCCACAAATGCTCTTGACTCCATTGGTTAATTATGGCTTGTTTTGAGAGGCAGCAATTATGTTTTTGTTCTGAGAACCACAACACGAGTCAGTTGGCCCATAAGCAGCAAGAATATGATGCCCCATTCTGCCAGAGAGTGGTTTTACCAAGAACCATGTGGATTTCCAGTGACAACAAATTTCCAAGCTCTGTGTGATACAGCCCTGGCCCGTCGGCATTACCTTACTTCCCATCAGTCACTTAGCTACATGGGAAAACCATGAGAGATAGCCACCAACTGGGAGATAAAATGACTGAATTAAAGAGCTTCCAATGAGATGCTATGTTAACCTGCACGGCATCTTAACTTCCAGCTGATGCAGCTTTCTTCTGTGAAATAAGATCATAATTTAGTGGCTTTACCCCGAGGCAAGTTTTGTGTTTTGAGGTTTGCAAAAACAAAAATTGTACAAAGAAGCACTTAAAAAATTTGCTTTTCAGAATATGAATAATAGTTTTAATGTAAAATCAAAGTGCTGTTTTTGTGTTTATTTCTAAAATTTTCTCTCTTGAGGACACTATGCTGGGAAGGCGTAAATGTAATTGCATGGACAATTAAACAGTGAATTTTAAATTCACCAAGAATAACTAGACTGTGTTCACTGAATCAGAATGGTCAGCATTCTCCTGTGCATAACAGTGTGTGGACAATACACTATTTACTTCTTAGGGGAAACCGATTCCTCCAGCATGGTGGATTCCTCCTCTCCCTCAAGGCCAAAACGATCCTTACTCTGCTTCTGTAGAAAGAAGAGCCACAGACGTCACAGTGAACAATGTAGGCTCAATGTATGGAGAACTGGATGCACAGTGAACTTTAAATTTTTACTTGCCTTTTTAAGAATGATGTCAATGTAACCAGCAATCAGTTGGGATATTTGCTCTCCCTCTGTAGTCTGGACAGAGTAGTAACTCTCCTGGTACTCTCCAAAATCCTTTGTAATGCAATGAAAACAACAGAGAATCAAGGCAAATCAAGTCACAGCATTTTGACATCTATACCTAATAAGAGCCATAAATAAAAGCACCTTACTAGAGCTGACATTCTGAATCAAACTGACTTGCTTCCTATTCTTCCAGAGCTGATTAAAAATAAACCTCACTTCAAAGCATTCTACAGAACCACAGGGTGAATATTTTAGTTTAAATCAATGTTGGCAAATAGACCTTAGAGTATTTTTATAATTTGCATAATCTATTAATCTTTAAATGGAGTACTTTTTCCACTATGAGACACATAGGCAATACTGTTGCCAGCAGCTGGTAGAGAAAATTGAAAAAGCTTTCAGATAAATAATACATTCAAATTCTGGACACTCTTCCCTGGGCATCTATTGTTAACTCAGATGAAATGGACGGCCAGCATGCTGAAAACAGTGTCTCAACATTTTTTTTTTGGAAACTGTTTATACTGCAAAAAGAAAACTGTGGACAAGGTTCACCATGTGATGCAGAGCTGTGTAAGTCAAACTGTGCATAGAATAACTGAATATTTGCATAGGATCAGGAGTGTTCGTCATCTCTCTCTCTCTCTGCAAGTAGTGCTGAAGACTTGATGCACACAGTCATACAGTACCAGGGTGAAGCTCTTCGGGGAGGCAGCCCATCTCTTGACTGTTGTCAGAGGCCACTCCTGCACTACATCCTTTGTCTTCTCATCCACCCGCATCACTGACTCTTTGGTTATCCCCAGCAGCCGCAGGACCAGCTTATTTTTACCCTTCATCTTTTCCTGTCAGACAGAAAAACATCAGACAACATTTATGTCAGTGCTAAGCACCTACAGACATGATTCATTCAAGGCACAAAAATTGTTGTGCTATTCTACCGGTGCCATGTCCACAGCTTGAAGCCCCAAATAAAATAGGAGAAGGGCAGCTGTGAAGTGACCCAGGAGAGTTCAGCCTGGTTTAACTGCTGCTTTATAGAGCAGAGTCTCTACTGGCTTTAGTCACTGTCAGCACACCAGCATGGTGCTTCCACCAGCTCGGACCAGCTCCAGCGGCTTCCACTCTCTGCCCGCTGAACATCTATTACATTTCATTTCAGAGCTCGAGCCTACACTTGGCTCCTCTCCAGGGGTGCGACACAAAAATGAGTGGTTTGTCAATACAGCGGAGTTCAAAATACATACGTTTTATGTGTCTGAGCTATTACTTTTTTGTTTGTTTTGTTCTTTTAAATCACTTGGTCAAAAGCTCTGAGAATGAAACAAAGGCCAATGCATAAAATGAGTTCAGGACTCTTAAACACAAGGACAGATAACATTATCCCCATGTTCCTGATATCTTCACACAAAGGTTTATTAAAAACTTCTATTGTTCGTAGTTATATTACTTGAATGCCATAATTATCAAGGCTGTGTTCAAGCAGGAAGTTTGATTTTGTAATCTGAAGTGGGCAGTTGAGGTAGTATTATTTTAAATAATTTAACCTTGATTAAAATCACAGTTGAAGGGGGAGATTTTATATTGTATGCACCTGCAAACAGGCTTATTTACTTGTCAGGGGCAGTAGTTTCATATCTGTGGCGTTTACAGCAATAGAGACCTTGCCGATCTACAACCTACAGTGATTAAAACTGACAGATGAGATTAGAAATGGAAGGTTACAATAAACTCTCAGATACACTTCAACTGAGCCAAGTCTCTTCTTTTGCCTCTCTAGCATCAAGAGTAGAGTGCACCCGGAGTGAATTATTTAAGAGTTTTGAAATTTCCATCACTACATCTCCTCACTGAACGCAGACAGTGCTTGTTCATGGAGATATACACACACACTCTTCCATTTACACACATTCTTTCTTGCACACAAAGACACTCTGAACCCTGCCGTCCGCTTTAACTACGTGGCCAAGCATTCCATTTATCGTCCATTAAGAACCCAGCAGACAACTGCACTCCTCCTCTTTGTCTCTCTTTGGCACAAGTTTGAAACCAATTGGCTTGATGTCAGAGAGCTTTTATAATACCCTGCTGCGACTTCATCCCATTCGCATACCACACTTCCATTCCACTTCTGTGTTTGCAAAAACCAGAACAGAACAAAACTGTAATTGTTATAAGTATTTCACAGCAGCGAGTGAACAGCCAGTGCATGGTCTTCTGCTCAGAAGATTCTGATTTGCTTTGATGATGGGGTTTTGGGTGTTTTCAACAGGCTTTCTTACCTGTTTGACAGCACAGTGCATATCGGAGCAGCTGTTTAATCACATCTGCCACTCATTAGTACACAAGCAGTATGTGCCTGTTTGCTACATGTTGCCCAGGAATCAGGTTTAGTGCTAGAGTTTAATCTTCATTGCTCTGGCCCTTGTTTGTATCAGTTATGGTAACTCTCTACTGCGAGTAGCTGCTGAGATCTGCAAAAGCAACAACACTACTACAGCAACGTTATATGAGGTAAGAAACAAAAGCAGCCAAACAATCACATTTATAAAAAAAACAAGTATTTAACCAGATTATGCACAGGATATCTGGATGTAAAACAAAAAGGGAGCGCCCCTGAAACAACAACAACCCCTCATTATTTGCACACATGGTGGGCCAAAACTGGACTAGCAAGTCAGTGTGTCAACTGTGATGGATGTTTACATCCTGCAGTTTGGTTTTAAGTTGGGCTCACCTGGGGGTTTGTTTACAACCTGTATGATCATCTGACTGCTTGTGTCTCTTAACTCTCCTGACTTCTCTATAGCGTTCTTGCTGTGTTTCAAGATTTCATGCAATGAACTTGCTGAGTACAATGTTACCATCACTATTAAAAAATGTGACCCAAACTATTAGAATATTATTAGATCCAAGGTGTTTCCTTAAATTAAAAAACCCAAATCTTTCCTGTTTGCAGAAATGCAAGTATACTCTTTTATGTTTATGAATTAAATTAATAAAACAAATCAATAAACACACGTTTTCTTCTTTTTTCACCAATTCACCTCTTTACTGCCATCAGTTAGCATGTTTTTTGTGCTTACCTTCACCAGGAAGAAGGACACTCCGTACGTCTGCAGGGACCTCGCGAGTTTCACATACTTCACTTTTGCTTCAATCTCTGTCATTTCTCCACAGTTTTTATGTTCCTAAACAAACAACTGCAGTTACAGCTCCACGTCCTTAGACTGATCATTGCATGCTTATGTCAGTATACTTGAACTGCTGCGATCTGCATGCTTTGTATTTTGCATACCTCAACAAAGGACAAATTACTATAATTCCTTTAAGCTTCTGTTTCAAACACATTTTTTAATGCCACAAAAGAGCAATATGATGTACATACTTGAAATATTTTCTTCTCCGACCCTCTCTGCTTGATGTACTCTTTAGGTAGGAACTCCTTCAGGCTATGAAGAAAAATGACATTTTTACATGGTTACTCTTTTGAGCTACAGGCGTTTCATTTTCTATTAACATACCTCTACATATGAGGTCATTCTTGCCCTACTGCCTGCATATCAGAAAACAGTTGTAACAGCTGACATCACCCCTGAGCTTTCCACTAGAGGAAATCACTGAAGTAACAGCCTGTACTGAAGCAAGAGATAACCACAGTATACTATATATGCAGCTGTGAATTCAACCTTTAAAGGCACAATACGTCATGCACAATTATTATAAATATTGCTATTAGTGAATCTTTTTGGTAAGAAAAGCTTACTCTAAGAATCCAGGCTTGTGCTTGTGCTCCACATGGGGTCCGAACTGGATCTGAGCCTGTATCCCTGCAAACTCGCAGGCTTTATCAAAGGAGACAGGGTGGGATCCATTCAATATATCATCCCTAGCCTTGAGGAGACATGGGGTGTGGGGGGTGGGGTGAGAATAAGTAGAATTGTAAGTCAGATGAAGAAACACACATCCAGGAAAAGGGTACAACTACAAAGGCATGAGAATGATCCCAAATTCACCCACAGAGCTCCATAACAAAGATTTCTTCATGTGCAGTTCCAACAGCTCCAACAATTTGTCATTACAGCCCATTACATGTTATTATAAAGGAAAATATCACCTAAATGCATGTATTTTACAGTATCCCAGAATACCCTTTAATATTCTGCTAAAAATCTAATGACTTGATGTTTCTCCCACTGAGCAAATAATTATTTGTTTGGTGCTCCTGTGACATCACCTATGTTTTAATGCATTTTCAGCCAGGTTGTCAAAATCACAGTATCTTCACCTGTTAGATGAAGGAAATGAAGAAGCCTTTGTTGACATCTTTCAAATGGTTGTCAATGTGTGCTGTTTTCTCCAGGGGGCAGTGAGCCTCTCTGCTCTCTCTCTCTCTCTCTCTCTCTCTCTCTCACTTTCTAGTATACTGCTGCAAAATTAATGGCTCCAGAAGCTGAGGCCTTGCTGACAGTGAGAAACTGCTCCATCAGTGCTTTTCCATTAGCATATCAGTGCACAGCGTGGCCTCGACTCATTCCTACGTCCCATTACATCAATGAAAAACTAAGCAGCAGCTTACTGCTGTAATGAGGACAACAATCCCCGCCACTCACAATCAAGTCCTTTCCCCAGTGCAATTCACAGTGGAGTATATAACCTCTTATTGAGCACAGAAGACTCTTGTAATTTAGTCTTCACATGTCATTCACTCATTACAGTGCTTTATTCTGAAGTATGATGCTAGGAATAGTGGGAAAACAAGGTGTGAATGTTTACATCTTAGTGAGTTTATCAGTGGGTCTCAATTATTCAGAAACGTTACTGCAAGGTTTACATAGGTTATAGCTATTGTAAGATGTAAACATCTTGTCTCAGTACTTTGTAGCCAAATAAATAATAAGATGATAATTGATGTAATTAAATAAAATTAAAATGAGAGTTTAACGCCAGCAGTGTGAAAACACCTGCTATTAGGTGTTGCTTTTATCTTCCATTACCGGTGATAAGATGAAAACACCAATATACAGCAGAGTGCTAAATGCAGTACAGCAGCCAGGCAGCCAAACACTTCAACTGCTGAATTAACTCAGTCAGTTTGAAGTTTGACACAAAGATCTAGCCCTAACACCGAACTTCCCAAACTGGTACTGTTAGAATCAAATAACCAGTTCTTTTAGGTTCCATGTAAATCTCATTACAGTAATACAAATGGCTATAGAGTTAGATTTGGCAGAAAAGGCAGAGCTTCTTGATGACTTTGGGATAATGAGGGGAGGTTATAATGGCCATACTGTATAGCTGTATGAATACGACTGGGTGATACGAGCTAGTTAACAGCGACACACCTGTGAATGAGCAGTGAAGGTGAAGGTACATGCGCTCTCTGAGTACTCTTGTTATATTTAGTTTGGATTTTCTATTAGGGGTTCCATTCAATGATAACCACACATTTTTTCTAAGCTTACAACTGACACTGAATTAATCATTGGTTGGGTCAGGTAAAATCAGCAAACCCCAGATTAGGCAGTCAATTAACAGGTACATATCTTGAGTCGGACACGAGTCAGCCAGATCATTCTACCATGTTTATCAACAGACAAGACAGTAAGGCCAGGCCCTGAATTTCTCACAGTAGACACAGCAAGCAATTGGTTCTAGGACATTTTAATAGAGCTGCGTCAGTGGAAGTGAAGCACAAGGCATCAGACGCTGTGACACATACAACACTAAGGTCAACCTGTCCACCATGGCCCAGCAGAGTGCACAGCCATGAAAATAAATGCTGACACAAGGATGAACTAAAGAAACTAAATGCACACAGTTTTCGATCAGACTGGTTCCTAACAAATCAGCGAGTAAAGGAATATTTATGAGCCCCCTGACCTATAACACCATTTTAATCTGAAATCCTAAATGTTCCTTGGTTGACAGAGCAGCACTAAAGACTGGATTTTACTGTAAATTTTGTGCTATTCTCCTTTTAGCACCGACATGTGCTATTTTGAAAGACAAGAGATTCTTCATTGCTGTCTTGTGGGCCTAAACTTTCAGCATTAACTAAAGTGAGCAAAGTAAAAGCACAACACCCAGAGGGATGTTATTGCTACAGTGGTTTATCCTGGTTTTAGCACAAATACATGACAGAAAGGGAGTGGCCGAGTAGTAAAGCAGATTAGTCTGTTACTGGCAGAGCTTCTATCACTGTATGTGTGTGTGGGTTGGTGGGGGGGCTGGAGTGATGGAAGCTTCAAATCAATCAAATCATAGCAGAGATGCACTGTCAAAGACATGCATGCAATCATTTCATCATCTACATAATCTGAATGTATTTATTCAATACAGCTGTGCATCTGAGAATTATAGGAATTGTGAATGTTGAATAATATTAAAGAGGAAACTGGAGGAAATAAAAAGCTGTGTGAAATAAGAGGAGAAAAAAAGAGAGTGGAAGGGATTAAAGATCATTCTCCTTGCTCTGTTTGGCCTTTTTAACACGGTGACAAATTAGAGCTGCTGCCATGTGAAGAGTGTCTGTGTAACAATCTAAATGTGTGCATGTGTGTGTGTGTGTGTGTGTGTGTGAGAGAGAGCGATGCATAGGGAAGGGCAACAGAGAGGCAAAAGGAGGTGGGGGCAGGGGGGCAGGGTTGTTATTGTGAAAGGAAATATGAGTCTGTATTGAGAGGAGAGCATGATATGCACTGTGCTGTAATGTGTGCCAGGGTAAGAGGGTGGGGATGTGTGTGATTGTGTCAGAATGAGTAGGAGCTGGAATGGAGAGAGGCAAACTGGAAGGGAAGGAAATGAAGGGTAAGAAAAATAAAGGCAAAAAAAAAACAGGAACAGACAGATAGGGCGAGGAGAGCAGCAGGAACAGACATGAAGGGTGGACAACTGCATGTCTTTTATGAACACACTGTGACTGTGTGTGTGTGAGTTCTCTAATAGGGGACTAATATGAATACAGGGACGTGTGCAGTGAACAAACCCTGACTAGTGCAGTACCAGACTCAGGTGAAAACTGGACAGACTAGCACTGACAAGCACACACATTCACAGATAAAGACAGAGTGAGGGAGTGCATCCCCTGTATCTGGCCATGTAAATGGTTAGGTTTGATTTAAGATACTGTATCTACTGTATGTCTCAAATTTCACCACTATAACAGAGGTGAATGGATTTTAGTTGGTGGCACAGCATAGTCAATATGAAACCTGCTTATGTGGGAGTCTAGAATGTGGAAGCCACCCCACCTCCACTATACGCAGCTCCTCAACCTGAGCAGGAGCTCCCTCTCCTCACAAACCCCAGTTTAACCCCTGCTCATGAACAGATACTACACTACAGATACACAGTAACCTCTAAAAATGAACCAAATCACCGGCTGGTCCACCAGGATAAACTCGTGCCGTGCAGTCAAGCAGTTGCTGTTACAGTTTCCACAGAGACCAAATATGTCAAACAGAATTTTGGGACAAAATGTCTAAAATGATGCACAAGAAAAACAAAATAATTCAATTTGAAAAGATTGTGTAAACATTGCAAATTTAAGAGCTGGTGTAAGCGCAGGAAAATGTAGCTGGAAACCCAGAACCCCCCTGTGAAAGAGTCCCTAGGTCTCAATGGAGCACATCCTGGTTAAATAAAGATTAGTGACAACAACAACAACAACAACATCTTAAGGAGATTAAATGAAACATGTTTCACCAGCTGAATGACTTATCTTTTTTAAAGAAACTAGATAAAATTTCCAAAATAATACTCATATTTTTTCAAGTCAAATATTAGAAACTAAATTCATCCCACTGAGTAGTCCAGTCATTCAATCAGCTGTATGAAGAGATACTGTAAATCTAATGCTAATAGCTACAGCTATGGAGAAGACTGTGCTTGTAATGGACAGCCAGAAAAAAGTAGAGTGCTGTGATGGTGGGAATCACAAAGGAACTTAAAGGTGCACTAATTAATATTTTCATATTAACAACAGATCATATAAGTAATGTGAAAAGGCTTTCTTGGTTTTCAAGAAGATTTAACACCCACCTCCACAGCATCACTCAGCTCTGGAGTGTTCATCAGTTGGACACAAAAGCACATCCAAATGTGCTGTATGCTAATGCTACTGCACATCTGCTGGATGTGTAACTACTTGATAAGGTGATAACATGCCAATGCTGTGTTTACAGCTTGTTCTGCTACACTAAGCAGCCAGACAAAATGCAGCTTTTAACATTTGGAACTGAAGCTTTGCCTTCACATGCACGGGTTCATACTGTTGTGCCACTGTATAGTATGAACAAAGAAACAAGTCAAACCTTTCTGAACCACATCTGAGTTAACCCCATTTCAGTCTGTCCAGATCTGGACAAAGGTTTGGTGCATGCTATGACATAGTTATCAAGTCTAATTACAGTCCTGTCTTGCCTCCTCTTTCATTTTCCGTGAAACATAAAAAACATCCCCAAAACCAACCATAAAGCTCATTTCATCCTCACCAGCCTTTTGTTTTTGTTTTGTCTTGAGTTTTTTTTTGGCTACGTAACAAGTTTACCTGAACATAGAGCAGGTTTAGCTGGACAGGGTCCCGTGAGTCCACATTCTGGTCTGAATAGAAGAACTTGCGTCTGAGCAGCAGAGTCTCACTTTCATCCACTCCCTGCTCTCTGAATGTCCTGCTGTGATCCAGCCAGTTCACTGCCAAATCAATACACACATGCACCGAAATGAATAAACATCCACTTTACAAACACGTTTGCTAAAGGAGGACACTGATGATAGGCAGTTAAAAATATCAGCCAGGCAGACAATCTTCCAAATGAGCCACGGGGAAGTGAAAATATTGACGGGGCACGGGGAAGCATCATCTGCATTATTTTCTGCTGAGACATAAGCTAGTTTTCAGCCAAAGTTGGGAGGGTGATTTATATATTTGCATGTTTCAAAATTTAATTGGCATCCTCTGGGGAAACGATAAGAGTGGTAATTTCATTAAACTTTGATATATCCTGTCAGGATGATGGTGACGAGTCAGATTCATCAACGTGAAAATATGAAACGGACACAATGCCATCAAGATATGAAAGACACTTCTGGAGGCTCTCGCAAGCGCACACTCACATTCATCATCTGTGTGGAGTTTGGCTTTGAGCTTTTCCATCTTCCTCTCATCTCGCAGCAGCAGCGTTCTGTCTTTCTTTAGCGTCCCCATTCCGTCCTCTTTCTTGTCCTCTGGCACTTCTTGAATGAGGGAGTATTCCTCATAGTTGGTGATTCCTGCAAAGGACACAAGTTAGCCAGAGGAATCTTAGAGGAGGAGATGCCTCAAATTAGCACAATAACTACTGTGATGATAGATAAAGCATCACTGCAGTTCTCTTGCAGTCTCTTTCTCTCTGCTCTGAAATAGAAGTGAAGGAAAGCTGGTACAGAGCCAACAAACTAAGTGGGAGCCGAGGAGGAGAAGAAGCCAAACATAAAGACCTACTCCAAACAAACATTTTCCAATAAAGCTATCTGCCAGACACACATCCCCCTCCTCCTCACTCAGATGAGCTTGATAGCAGCCCATTTTAATTGAAATATACAGCTTGGAGAACTTCTGTGACAAACCAAGGATGAAGTGATCTGGGCCTTTAGGAAGAGCACGTCATCATTTATTAGAAACAACCTTGTTTGGGCTTAATAAATCATGCCCATAATGCTCTAAATAAAAAGTGATTATGGCTTAATCAAGTGTCCATGAATGCTCCAAAGTACTTAACAAATCCTTCATTTTAACTACAAATTTAACAGCACATAATAACACAGTAATACAAAGAAATTCAATATGAAGTCAGGTGGTAAGTCTTAGACTAAAAATAAAATAGAGGATGAATAATTAAAGCCGTGCACAATGACTTGACAAGATGTATATCGGCCGTGCTAGGAGACTATCAATTACCTATTCTACTGCATATGGTGACAAGCAGCTCCCCAACTGTTTTTGAGTCATCCACCATGATGGTTTTAACTGCACCATCCAGCATTTTGATCTTTTGAGGCCTTTGTTTCTTCTTATACTCCAATATGTCCTGAGAAAACAGGAGAGGAAGTACACAGACATCCACAGGCCAGCTGAAAATGCAAATCACTTTAAAAGCTTCTCCCAGACCATGTGACTTAATCTTACTCCGTTTCGCAGCATGTAGTAATCCAGGGTTCTTCCAGATTCGAGCCAGATTCCTTTCCTGGGATCATCATCAGACAAGAATAGGCCATAATCTGAGGCTGAAACACAAAGTAAAACAGGGTATTCAAATGAAGATGCCTATAGATTTCCATTATGTAAATTTTATTCACATATTCTGAGTCATCCACCAACCTTGTCCTGTCTGAGCTTCTGGAACTCTCTCTCTGATGATTCTGCAAGCATCATACACAGGAGTGGACGGCTCAAACTGCATCGTCTTTACCACATTGCACTGGCGTACACAGATCTTTAGCGACAAGGCCACCATCTTGGTGCGTACTGCAATGGCCTCCCCAACCTATACACCTAAGCAACACAAAAGCGGAAGCATTGCGTAAGGTTCAGACTGTGTACTGCTGGCTCATATCCCAAATAGATGATCTGTGTCACGGCTGGTATCAACAAGCCATTATTAAAATGTCCTCTCATAAAACAATCATGCTTTAAAGTGTGACAAGGAAGTCTCAGTAGCAGAATATAACACCACAAGACACAGAACTAATCATCACAATTATCTCCTTGGGGATAGTTTTACCTGTGAAACAGAATGTGTGTTATGCCCTTCCCCTGCCTCAGCAGCTCCTGCTGTTCTGATATTAAAGGGTTATGTGTGTGCAGAGCTTCTGCTTGATTGCAGTGTGTGTAGAATTAGCTGAACCAAGGCAACCGACATAACCTTTCAG